ACTTTTAATTAGATTGCAGGATTGAAACATCAAATAAATTCTCTTTCAAAAATGTACAGTCAAACCATACGTTAGTTTGAGATGTCACGGAGGATTCCTCGGTATCTTCGACATCTCTTACCTTTTATTTCTTTGAGTTCTAGAAATAAATGTTCCACATTTGTTTTTCCCATTTGATTTTCCTATAATCAATCATGGAAATTAAATGTTGAATTATTGAAGACACAACCCCAATCTTAATTGAGAGTCTTCTTAAGTGATTTTAGTCACTTAAGACGTAATTAACTATAGGGATTGCGTCTATAGGAAATTAGTAACCTAGATAATCTGAACCTTTTCCAATCTTCGGATTCAATAGGGGAAATATCTATCGGTATTTTTGTAGATCAAATAAATATTCTTAATTTCTTCGTCTGAAAAACTGAACAAATTATTAAGTGATATTCTCATATTTCAAGATGATGTAATACTTATAATATCGTGTTCGCTTATTTAAATAATTAATTATTCGAGATCTGTTCGGTCTTCTTTTTAAAATCAAATTTTTTTTTTTCAAATACGAAATAAAAACCAACTACTTCTCTGAAAGCTTCCAAATCATCACATTTAGTAATTTTAATTCTAGCATCATTCAAATCTCCTGCGTCTACACATCCAAATTTTTTTTGTTATAAATGTGCAGTATAAACATATAAATAATGAAAATTTTCAAATTAAAGAAAATAAAAACTTATATTGTTTTTGTATATTGGTTGTTATGTTGAGATCTTCAGTATGCAAAATAACATCCTCATTGTAAATTTCATCCTCTAAATCATCATACTCAAGTTTAGGAGTAGTTTTTCATCAACTAACCAAAAATTTATCATCTCAATACTCATGTAAACAAAAGAATCATAACTTCTTTATTTTCATATGCAATCTAAAATATAAATATAAAATTCTTTCAACTGTGTTAACATAAATTAATTAAAATTATACTATATTCTTCTTCAAAAATAAATAAAGATATTGCATATTCTTTAAGTTGAGGTTGTATCGAAAATATACGAGATCATTTAGCCTTTGATGCTCTAAATGATTCCTCATTTTGTATAAATTTGCTTAAAAGCCCGAGAAAGAACATGTTTGACTGAGAATTCTTATAGCTAATTTCTGTAAATTTAGAGTACTTGAGTCAAACATCTTCCACCATTCATCTAGTTAAATAAATAATTAATTTAAAGAGATAACTCAAATACTTGTATAAATGAAATACTAATACGAATATAATATATCATATGAACTTATCGGGTCGCTTTTCCCTCGACATTGCAGAGTTATTGGCATTCCAAAATTGTTTAAATTGTCACAAAAAAGTCTAGTCTCATTCATCACTGATGTAGGTTTAGGCATATATTTTTGTTTCCAATAATTTCATTCAAGCCTAGCATAATCTCATGTTTATTACAATAGTTCTTTTTATTGTATTAAAAATGAGGGTTCAAAAAATAAGTTGTTGCATGGATATCTTGCGAAGTTGATTATATCATCTTTTTTTGATGATGCTAGTATATATATGGTTTGTACAATTTTTTTGAATTCCTATACTTTCATTTTCTTTCTTGCTCCATACATATCATCATATAGATATCCTAACTTTGATATTATAAAGTAGTCATTCTAGAACTTATAGTCTAAAATGATGCAAGCTGTCTCTTTTTCATTTGTTGTCTTAGAAGACTTTGAGTCTATATAACGCGTGCTTGTGATAAATGCCTGGAAATTGTGTTAATACTCATAGGCACTATTCAAAGTGATAAAAGTAGTAACAAAATGTGTTACTCCAAGACGCACTATCTCCTTTCAATCTGGCTTTTTTTGATACAAGTCTTATATAAAGACATGATTATAAATAAAGATTGTTAATTGTGAAGCATTTTTTGCAAGCTTAGTTGCATGTGTCATGCTATCAATTTCTTTTAAGATAAGATTCAAGGAGTGAGTAGCAGAAGGTAATCAATAGATATCGTCGTATCACTCATGTGATAAGTCACCAGTCTTCTTATAATTTTCATCATTGTCAGTTACAATTTACGTCACATTCTCTAATATCACCCACTCAATAAATTCGACAAATAAAGCACATAAAGCTGCATATTTTTTAATATCAATAGCATCAATGGATTTAATAAATGAACTCCCACGTGGATAATAAATTTGAAAGTTAATAAGTGCTCTATTTTTATTATTTGTCCACATCAACCATTAAACTACATCATGTGTCTTTTCAACATTGTCCATAACTCTCAACAACTTGTATTATTCGTTGCAATCTGTTCATAAGCTCACCGTCATTCTGAGAGTTTGTATCCATACCTAATAGTTGTGATTGCGTCAATAGCTTTCTACCCAAAAGGCAAATTTAATACATTTGCAGGTATGCAACAATAAAAAAATCAACTAGTCATGTCCAAATCAACACGATGTATACCTTCTTTAAATGCAAACACACTTTTTAAAGATGGTTGTGAGCCTAACTTTGTTCTTGGAGCAAAATAATTTTATATTTTATTTAATTTTATTTTTTTCTTATCATGCTCTTTATCATGTGCAGTTATTTTCTTTCTTTTTCTAATTTCTTTTAGATATTTGTTTAAAATGTTCTTACATTTGATAACGTATATCACGTGACATTTTTTTACTTGCAACAATATTATCCTTCACCCCAACTAGGTATTGTTTTATTCTATTAATGTCTTTATCTTTGTATAGTTCCGCAATGCAAGCATTTATACTATTTTTTTCCATCAAGATCTTTAAATCCAGTAAAATAATTTCATGTTATATCTACTTTTCTCAAATGTTATGTGTGAAAATAACATGTTGACTTCAAAAAGGATTAATTCTAATGTAAATAATATCAAAATTATTAACTTAACAATAAATAATTTGCATATTGATATGAAATGAAAACGCACATTTTCAAATATATTGAATATATCTTGACACAAAATAATTAGCATATATTCATATCAATGCATTAATCGAAGATATTTTTTAAATTAAGCTAATCCATGTAAAGTAATAATGCTCAACAAAGCAAACCAAGCATATTGTAATAATGCTCAACAAAGCCTAGCCTAACTATATTTTCTTCTCTAACCAAGCCAAGCCTTACAAAGATTAAACATGTCATTCCACACACAACAATAATAAGTCAATCCTTTGCTTAGTAAAGCAAATCAACAATAAAAAGGCTAAGGCAAAGTAATTATAGATAATCAAATGCAAGAAATGATGAGTAAATTAATTTTTAGACTTAAACCAAAAGACGAATGGTTTAAGTTCATCAACAACCAAATGTATATATTGCAATTATGTTTACAAAATTAACATTTTGAACAAATTAAAAACTACAAAAATGGTTTGATAAACACTCTATTGAAATCGCATATAATTAAACTTCTGAATATGGATTTAATCATTAGTTGAGAAGCTTATGTGAAAACACAATAACACAATAACTAATTTTTTCCGAAATTAATATTGCTATATGGAAATTTGATTGATTGGGATGAAAACAGCAAGACTTGTTCAGAAAAACTGCTAAAGTAAACTCTATCTTAATAGAATCATGGATTCGTGGCACAATTTTCCACAATGTAAGTTGGAATGCGTGGTGATTATACTGAAATCGTAGAGTTAAATTAGTTAATAGATTACTAAGATATTCTTTTTGGTTATACCCAAAATCATAGAGTTAATACGGGTGAAAGACTAAGAACGACATATAAGTAAGCATTAACCATGTAAGCAAGCAAGTGAGAAACTTGAGTCATGTGAATACACATTTAACACAATTCTTATGTATTTACTTAAGTTACATTTTTTTACTTTTCACTGTTTTTACTGTTTTCAGAAATTCAGAACACATGGGGGAATGAAGGTAGGCATAACCGCACAAGCAATTAACTGAGTAAGCATTAGGGTAAGAACATTCAGGAAAATAGAAAAACATACAAGAGAGAGGACTTAAGGTAGGAAGGCTCTGGAAATATTCTCGTTGGCATATGAAGTAGTTAGGATATAGGAACTTAGGAAAACTTATGGTGAATGCTGTGAAATGGCCGACTACTGTTGATATCTGGCAGTGAAAGATGGCGAACATGTCCAAAGGCATCGAATGGCTCATACGGTGGCGAACTCCCACTGTGCATCTCCCCCAAACGGGAGAAGTCAAAGCCGCAAGAATTGGGAAGGCGAAGGATTTGTTCACGACGTGACAAAACTAGTGATTTTATTACAGACCGCAGAATTAAAAACATTGAAACAGTTCGCCGGTTTACAGCTCAAACAGCCAGTTTGATCAGGTCTGGGTGGTTCACAATCAGAAAGGATTTTTTATATGGTTTGGACCGGAATGTCCACCTATTCACAGTCGAACCAGCCGGTCAGATCTGATCTTCTAAATCTTGGATATTACATGAGTAGTTTCATAGTGTTGGACTTATCAAACAACTATTGGAAGGAAATATAATATTCGGCTTTATACACCTTTATTTATTCCATAAAAGCTTGGGGAAGATATTAGCCTGGACATTGTGTTTGGGTTACCACAAACTCTATGAAAACATTATCCATACTTTTATTGCGGTAGATTATTTTTCAAAAGCCGTGCAGTAGTGATTTGGTTCTATTATAATAATTAAAACAATAACGAATACATCTCATTCTAATAAGAATTATCATCATAGGCATACTTTTTAATGAAATAAACTGGGAAATAAAACCTAGTAACAATTTTAATTCACATGATTCATATTCCTATTAAATAAAGACTTTCAGATTTGCATCACCAATGCTACATTAGTTTTATTTCCTCGTGCATTTTCCTTGGTCTTATTTTCCTTGCTATTGCTTAACTGTTATTTTTTCTCTTGATTCTGATCATTGAGTTCTAGTTGATTTGCATAAATCTTATGGCTTTGATTTTTCACCATCACGCCTTACTTTTTCAGCTCTATTTCTAATGGGAAGAACCAATCCAACAGTTCAAAGAAGATCCACAAAGCTGAGAGAGAAAAACTGAAACGTGATCGTTTGAATGAGCTCTTCCAGGAACTTAGCCGTGATCTTGGTAACCTCCAATCTTGTTTTTGTTCTTTCTTTTTTTGTTTAGGAATAAAGACACTTTTAATTTACTTGAGGGATAATTTTGAATGCTCAGTGGAATTGTGAGGATCTTGTTATTCTGACCTTATAAATTTTCCTACTTCAATACAATTATTTTTGTTCTTTCTTTTTTTGTTTTGGAATAAAGACACTTTTAATTTACTTGAGGGATAATTTTAAATGCTCAGTGGAATTGTGAGGATCTTGTTATTCTGACCTTATAAATTTTCCTACTTCAATACAAATATCAACTAAATTGGCTTTGGTTAATCTTGTAGGCTTATGCGATGAAATTTGTGGTTTTACTTAAAACTTTTATTAATTTGAGAAAACTTCATATGGTTTCATAGGAATTGCAATCTATGTAAATGCTCCTGAGTTGTACTGAAATTCTCATTTTGTAAATCTTACAATAAACTTAAGTTTATTGGGGTTGCATGAAATCAAAGTAAGTGCTTCCACTATGGAAGCATATCAGTGTTATATAACTATTGTTTGTCTGATATGCTTTGTTCTTCTATTTGCAGACCCATTAGGACTAAGCAGTTGTAAGGCATCAATACTGGCTGATGCGACTAGGGCTCTCCGTGATCTTCTTGCACGACGGAAAAAGCTTAGAGATGAACACACTGCTCTGGTATCTGAATCTCATTATGTAAGTTTTTTCCCATTGATGTAAAACTTATTTTCATGGGGCATTTATCTGATGGTTCTTCATGTCATATTTGAAGAGTTTTTATTATCATGCAATCAGTAGTCCAATGAATTTATTGTCTGCTTTCAGTTTCATATATGAAAAATCACCTTTTTTTATGAAGGACTTTCCATTTGAGATGACAAGTTTTTCTTACTGAGTTCCATTATTAAATAAAATAGTCACAGTAAGCTTTCATTCAAAGCATTTGAGAAGTTTTTCTAGAGTTCTATTTGGTTTAAATAAAATCTAATGCCCGGGTTATCATTTTCATTTATTCACTTTTTTGCTTATTCTAATTATAAAAATAAAAGAAAAATTAAAATCTAAAAATTTTGAAGGAGGATTTACATAGGTACCATTCAATTCATATGTATTTATATATCTAACATCTAAACTTCAATTTTTCCATTCATGCCACCATATTTATCATGAAAAGTTATATTCCACTTTTTAAAAGCTAAAATGGTGATATTTTTGATGTGATATTTTTGGTGGTATGAATGTAAAAAGTTAAGTTTAGATATTAGATATGTAATTGCATAGGAATTAGATGGAATGTATTTAAATGCCCCAATTATAAAATAGCAACGACCAAGTAAATTAACAGAAAACATTGTATGTGTCATCAATTTGCTTGTCTCGAGATGCATGATTTGCTTTTCCAACGTGTATATGCCTTAAGATTGTCATTAGAAAATTGGAAGATTCAGGCGCTTGATCTTTATCTTTAGATGATGGAAGTTTATTAAATCATTTTCCATGTTTCTGTTCAGTTTCGCTGATGATATAAACGTTGGTGGCTTTGATAAATTACTTGGTTTTACCTTCATTATATGAACTGATAATCTGCATGGAAGTTGATCAGATAACTTTGGAAAGGGATGAACTCCAAGCGGAGAACCTCACCCTCAAATCAGATATTGGGATGCTGCAGAATGAGCTGAACCAGATGTTGCGGTGTAGCAGCGATGATACTCGGCTCGTTCTAGCCCAATCTACCACCATACCGGATCCTCAACAACACCATAAAGATGTTGCGGTGTAGCAGCGATGATACTCGGCTCGGTCTAGCCCAATCTACCACCATTCCGGATCCTCAACAACATACTTCTGCTGCCTCACTGGTTCAGAGACCACAGGCTAGATATCCTTCCCCTTCAGATTCCTGGCCAGCCAAGCTTCTCTCTGGTCTTCCAGGGCCATTACAAGGGCAGGAGCAGGAGCTGCATGCCTCAACTAGAATCATTGAAGTAGATAATTAATAAAACTAAATTTGGTTAGATGTTTGCAAACTTACTGTAAATTTATGCATGAAAATGTGTATTTTATTTCTTAATAAAATAGTGATGTCGGTATTTTTGTTATGATGTTAAATATTCTAATGGTATGCATGTATCTGAGGTTAGCCCCCGCCCCCCAAAAATTTAAAAATTATTTTATTTTGAAATTGTGTTCTTACTATGTCATAGTCTTCAAATTATGTATATGAATAATTAGAATAATACATGTTATACAAAATAAATTATATACTGAATTGGTTGGATTAATATTATTATATCCTTTTTATGATATAGATAAAAAGATTTTTTTTTTCTTTTGCTAAATGTGTTTAATATTTTAAAATAGTAGGAATTGTACTTGTACCACTTGTATTAATATTCATAACAATATGACAGTCATGAAATAAAAGGTGATTTATATATAAAATACTAAAATTCTATGTAATAATTCAATCTTCATATATATGTATATATAATTTATAGATTAAATTGCATTTGAATATATGTATGGAAATATGTATTTTACTTTAAATAAGTTTATGTAAGTGTTCTGTCTTTATCATTTTCTCTAAAGCTAGCTCAGGTAAAGTATCAAGAATGATCCTACGATGCCTTTGATATTGACACTTCTTGTATAATATGATGCATTGTGATGTTTAAGTTCATAAACGAATTCTCCCCCATGCATAAAATTTGGCGTGCGTGTGCGTGTGTGCGCCACTAAATGATTAAGCAAACAATTTTTTAGAGTGATGTCACCCAAAAGTCATATTGATCAGGATCCAATTTCAATGCATTTCAAATGAGATAGTTTTGAGTGGGAATTAAGATAATATGATTCTAATTTTAACAAATTTATAATTGATATGATTGTCTTGGCAAGGCGAATCTGATGGCTTCAAAAGTGGTCTAATATAAATTCAAATAAGTACAAGTTAACTACTTGAAGTATGGTTAAGAAACCAACAATCTCCAATTTATACATATTGAAGTTCAAATAGAGCATCTCAATGAGATGGCTCCAATTAGAGTAATATCACTCTTTCTTAGGTCATTATGACACTTGAATGCTGAAAGTTGAATCTATGATAAAAAAATATAAATATACTTATATTTTTCAGAAAAAGTGATCTCTCATTTGAGTATTGAAAGAGCTTTAAAGTCATAAGATTTCTATAACATTGTCACATGTCTAACACTATTAAGCACTATCTACCGCCATCGTTGGATTGTCGTCATCTAACCAGCTCCATCATACTATTGTTGTTCGGTCACCAATGGCCAAAAATCGTTAATCAACAACTATTGATTGATTGTCATTCTTTGACCACCATCATATGACTGTTATTATCCTCCCACCGTCACTTGTCTACCAATAACAATTTTCATCCAACTATTGTCGCTCGATTACCACTGATGAATCATCATTTTTCATTGTAGTTGTACGAGTGTCATCACTCTAATCACTATTATTATCCCCCTATTACTTCAAACTCAACTATAAGTACAAGAGACAAGATTGCAATATATTATTTTATAAGCTTATCTTTGCTAATTGAAGAAAAGAAGGAATCTTATTAATCTCAACTAATATAGTGGCTGGTTTCTCCTGCGTCAAGTGTGGTATTTGATGTGGACACTAGAAGGGGGAGAGCCGCAAATGATTGGATCACATAATCCCAAGAGACGAATGATTGTAAGCGTTCATGCTCCAGCAGGAGACTCAACATGGAAGGGCAAACTAGTCACACGCACATTTAACTTTAGAGCACTTCGTATATATGAAACAGTAATACCTTAATGAGTAGAAGATGATTAACCCTGCATAATGAACATTAATAAAAAATATAGGTGAATTGAATAAATCAAAATTTCCCCTACTCAACACATAATATTGAATGGAGGTTCTTTTATTTTGGTTATTAGACCTTTCATGGGTGCACCATCATGGTTAATTATAGCTTGGATGAGGAGCCCAAAAACATTCCTGATTATGGATTTTAATTTGTTGATTTTCCTTTGGGGTATGGCATGTACTCGGTTTTTTAAGTGAGATTCCCTATTCTAGTAAAATAAATGTTCAAATGGTAAGTCAACATGTAGGGTATAACACAACCAAGCACATAAGGATTCATACAAGGGCATGCATAATAACTTAATATGTGAGTAGATGTCATCAAGTGACGTCTTACAACACCTTGACGAATGAATGCTTGTCCGATGATGAGAACTAAAAAAAATTATATATAATGACAATGTCAATCTCAAATCAAGAACAAAAGAGGGCCTAAACATGCTAACCAAGTATAACTCATGACTTGGAGTAATGTAAATGTTGTGAAGATACTTATAACTTAGCTCCATTAAGGATTAATAATACTCATGGCCTAGATTTACAATTATGGTTGTAAATGATTGTTTATTAGATTCACCTACTCATATAAAACCATAACATCTATTCTCTATTCAAATGCATATTTCAATAGATTTAATATATAAGAAATGAAACTTATGACACTGCTCTAAAGCGAAGGTGGTCCAACCATGAATAAAAATAAAATTCATATGTAAATTTTATATTTAATTAATTTGTCGTGAATGAGTTATAAAAAGAAAACAAATCTATCATGCTAAGTCACTGAGCTATTCATATGTGAGCATCAATCTAAGATTTCTACTAAGTTTAAAGCGCACAAGTTTCATGAATAAGACAAGTTAACAAAATGTTGTATGTGCAACTATGGCCAAGAAAACAGTCTATTACTTCGAATTAGTTAGTTGTTTAATCAAGAAATAAAAAAAACCTTCTTAAAAGCCTAGCAATGACATAAATTCAGGCCATGCACAAGCATTTGAATTAATCTGAGAAAAACATGTATTTCTAGAGCAACACCTAAAATAAACAATCAAAATAATTAAGTAACAACCAAAATAATAATGAAGACAGGGAGTGGTTCAATTATACATCATAAGAAAATAAAAAAATAAAATAGTTGCGACATTGCTTTATGTCAATGTCACAATAGTTAAATAATTACCCAAGATTTACATGAAAAAAATATTTATTTATTTTATTTTTAATAAACACAGAGCCACTAAAATCATTAAAATATCATAAAATAGAAATACTCAAAATTTATGCAAATTATATCACATCTCAAAAACAAAATACACAACATATACAACAATTATTGCATAATTCATCTTTCATCAAAATAAACATATCACCACGACTATATAAAAAAAAAAAATCTAAGATAGCAACATTTCTAAAGTCGGACTCTCATCAGTAATCAATAGTCTCTACTTAAACTAAGCCTCACTCATTCTTAAAATAACACGTGAATAAAACATAGATGAGCAATCATAATTCGTTAGGCCACTCAAAATTTATTACAGTTTCCAATACATAAAAGAGATAAATGACACACACGCACATTATTACAGTTTCCAATACATAAAAGAGATAAATGATACATAAAAGAGATAAATGACACACACACACACGCACACATATATATATATGATAAAATATCACGTGTTATGTTTATCATGCACGATGTCATTATGATAAGAATTAACAAGTAAAACATAACGCTTGTGTCCTAAACTTTGACTTTTAAGGCGTAAGCTTCATTCTCACTGCATTAAAAGATGGATTACACTATTTCCACCTTTTTTTATATTGGGAAGGATGTTTTGAATGTAAAAATTGAAGTTTAGGTGCAAGATAAGTAAATGGATAACATTTGAATGCTAAGTATGTAAACATTATTAGAAAGACAACATGGAATTCATTTATGAAGGCTTGTTGGTTGCCATTGAGGTGGCAAGGAAGACAAAAATTGGATGCGTACGTTCGCCACTCTGGCATCTCCTATCATCTGTCAAATTCACAATCTACCCTCCCTCCTCCTCCTCCTCCTCTGCACCATCACTTTTTCCAAAAGTTTCTCAAGTTATTCTCCGTCATTCGTCGCCGGAATCTTACCAAAAATCCGCTGTTCATCCTCCTCCCCTTTTATCTTTGCAGCAGAGCTTATCGATTCCCTTCTTCTACTCGAGCCGATTAATCGCAGAATCGAGCAGAAGGGTTCACTTTTCTGTTGTCACCTTTTTTCAATGGGGGTTTTCATTGATCAATATCTCGGTCGGTATTAATATTCGTATGATTCTGCGAATTACGAGTTGCTTCATGCATGCACATTTCTAGAGCATTATTGATCACCAGTGCATTTGAGCAGTTTGCCGCGGATTCATTAAATACTTTTTGAAATTTTGGAGGTCCTGCATCCTTAAAATTACATGTATGAACAAGAATTTAGGATTACAAATGCCGTCGTTTGATGTTGTGATCATCACATTGCCGCTTCTATTCTGGATTTCTACATTTGAATGGTTAATTTGCTGATCAGGAATAAAATCTTGGAAAGCGCTGCAGCCATTTTTTCTTTTCTTTTTCTCGTCGTCGGTGATATAGAGAATCCATCCGCCCTGTGTGAATTGATTATGATGGCATAAATGAATCTGCTGGTTCATTGCTCTACAGAGCAAAATCTGTGGCAGTTTCTTTTATGGGGCAGTATCGACTGTTCTGCTACCAGCTTATCATTCTCTCTCATTGGTTTGAATGCCGCGTGACTTGGGAACATCGATGGCGGATGCTAGGAGAAGTAGTCCCTTTGACAGGGATGTAAAGCAGGTATGTACCGAGCCACAAAAACTGCTGCTAATTCTATATATATTTTCTGCTAAGGCTACATTAAGGTTTTATTCAGTTTTCCTTGAATTAATGGCATTATTTTTTAATTAAATTGTGCTTATTACTTCTAGAAATTGGCAGTCTTAAATTTTTAACCATACCTAGTAGAAACTAGGATACATTTTTTTATTTGTTCCATCATCTTCCTGCATTGTTGTCTATTTGCTTGGAACTTACTAGTCTTGAATCCACTGTACTATTTATAGCCTTATATGACCAATACTTGTTCTCTTCCACTGGGTATGTGATCACCATCTGTGAAATAATCTTATATATATCTCATGGAATAAACTTGTCACTGATTGAGACGACTAAATGAAGTTTGGCCTAATAAGCTGTTCGGTGATGATGGAAGGAGATAAAGTCTCTGACAAAATGGCGTTCATTAGAATAGTTGAAATTGTCACCATAATGTTGGTGGCTTCTTTGGTACCAGTCCTGAGAAGAGATATAAAATAGAAAATAAATTTTAAAAAAGGAGAGAAAGAGAGGAAATTGCTCTGATATCATGCATGTATGGAAGGCGAAGAGCTTCATTTAGATGACTCTTTATTAATTCTAGAGTCAATTGCAAGTTAAACAAGAAAAAAAAAAGAGGGCAACAATTTATGATTTTATTATGGACAATAAATAAGCACTTTCCTAGGCATGAGTAATAACAACATAGAAAAAAGGAATTACCTGAATATTTGAATTCAAACCCTTATTACATTTAATCATACAAACAAACAAAGTAATGCTTTTAATGAAGTTACAATAGGAAGGAAAGATCAGTAGTGCTTTGGATTAGTGAGTTAGATGAAGAAAAAAAAGGCTCCCTAGAGATGCTAACACATGGAGTGATGAATCCATGAAATCTAGCAACATCTTATAAATAATAAAGGATTAACAGAATAAAAACCAAGATTTATTTAATTCCAATTACATTTTAATGTAATTCAGTGCATTTAATTTTCAATGACAAACAAGCATTAATATTAATAATAGGCATGCTTTTATTGGGTATCAGCATTTCGTGTTCCACACCAAATGTTAAAAATATAGGAAAAAAGACTATATAATCTTCATCATAATCATACAAATCGTGAGCACATCATTATATTGCTAATAGAATAAAAAAACTTGTGTGTCAACACGATGATTATTATTTGCATTAATGTTATTTTCAATAACATATTTACCATCATTGAGAAAAATATAGTTTAGAAAGGTATATATAACAGGTCACCTTCATTGCTTGTCTTAACTATGTTAAAGCGTGCCTCAAATATGTCAAATGGTTGTATTCAACTTTAATGTTGAATATAAAAATGTAAACACAACTTTTAACAGGTCTACGCTTGTTGGGCCAATCAAAGGCTTATTTATGTTATGTTATGTGAAAACAATGCGGAAGCATAGAAATTCAGACAACATCAACCAAACACAAAAGATTTATATGGTTCGACATTGAATCGATTCGCCTACATCCACAGAGAGGGAGATTTCACTAGTAACAGATAGAAAGAAACAAAAATGACTTGATGTTACAACTCAACGTTTCTCAACACCATACACCTCTTAGTCTCTCATATGCCCTAGATCCCTTTCTATAGATGAGGAATAGAGCATATAAGGAAACAAAGCAAAAAGAAAACAAATCAATTAAAATAAAAGTCATTAAATACAGCAATCTCTACCTCATATCTTACTTTCAGATAAGTGAGAGATGACCAACTGAGCTCCAACTCCAAATCAGTCGCACCAATAGGGCTGTAAACGAGCCCAGCTTGAGCGAGCTCAGACTTGGCTCGTGTTCGGCTCGTTCGAAATAGCTCGTGTTCGAAATCGGCTCTTGTTCGAAATCGGCTCGTGTTCGAAATCAGCTCGTGAACAGTGTGTTCGTGTTCTGCTCGATTAAAATATTTGTGTTCGTGTTCAGTTCGTGTTCAGCTCAAAATTGGCTCTTTAAACTTAAATTGAGAAAAATAGATGTAAAGTGTGGGATTCGAACCTGGATCAAATATATACAAAAGAATGCACTAACTACATTGCCACATGAGGTGTTATGATTTAAACGTAGACATAAATATATATAATATATTATTATATAAATAATATATGTAATATATTGTTATATAAATAGTTAAATAATTTTTTTATTTCAAATAATATATGTAATATATTGCTATATAAATAGTTAAATAATTTTTTTATTTCGAACTGAAACGAGCCGAACACGAGCGAATAAGGAGTTGTTCGTGTTCGACTAGTTTATAATTCGAGCTTTAAAAATTTATTCGTGTTCGACTCGTTTACTTAACGAACGAGCCGAACACGAGATGTTCGCGAACAATGAGCTTTTTTGACAGCCCTACGCGCCAAGATGGTTGCCTACGTACACCCCCTCTCGAAGGGATTAAGCCTCACATAGTTCTTTAAAATACACGATTGAGCAATCAATCAATCTTGAGCTCGAATGTTCACCAAATTTCTGCAATAGGCGAACTTCTGGATTGGTATGCTTTGTGAGCATGTCTACTGAATTCTCCTTCGTATCTATCTTTTACAACATAACCTTGTCTTCTTCAATTAAGTCCTGAACAAAGTGGTATCCCACATCAATGTGTTTCGTACGAACATGATGAACTGGATTTGTTGCTAAGAATATTGCACTTTGATTATCACATAACACCGTCAGAGACTCATGATCAACTCCCAAGTCATCCAATAGGGCATATATCCATATTGCTTATTTGATCGCCTCTGTAACTGTCATTTACTCAGTCTCAGTAGTAGACAAAGCAACAATAGACTGAAGAAATGAAATTCTACTGACTGAACCTCTTGCTAATGTGAATAAATAGCTCGTCGTAGATTTTTTGCCTATTCATATCTCATGTACAGTCCGAGTCAGTGTAGCATACACACAAATCTATACTGAATGACTGCCTCTGAAATACTAAACCAACATCAACTATACCCTTCAAATACCTCAGAATACTTTTCACAATTTGTCAATGAATTCTTTCTGGATCATGCTTGAACCTGCTCACAACACCAACTGCTTGTGCTTTTTTTGGTCTAGTGCAAACCATGACATACATTAGATCGCTCACTACACTAACATAAGGAACCGATCACACATCTTCCTTTCTGATCATCTTTATGACACTAATCTGAACTAAGTTGAAAGTGAGATGTAATGGTTAGACTCACCGCCTTGCTCGAGTCATCATCCCCAAATTTCTTCAACACCTTCCGAACGCAAGTTACTTGTGAAAGCTAAACCTTTTTAGTTGCCTTATCCCTAAAAATCTCCGTGTCAAGAATTTTTGCGAGCCACCCAACTCTTTCATTTCAAAATGTTTGGACAGTCGATTCCTCATCCTATCAACCTCAATCTGATTAACAGATGCAATCAACATATCATCACCATATAGAAGAAAGTAAATGAACTCACCTTTGGTCAACTTCTTGAAATTTGCATAATGATCATGCTAGCTACTCCTGTACTCCTGTACTCCTGTCCCCTCATGTGCTAATCAATTTTTTTATACTAGCGTCATGGTGATTGTCTCAACCCATATAAAGACTTGTTCAGTTTGAAAACAAAATTTTTTGATGCTCCATATCCTGACGACTGTGACATATAAATCTCTTCTTGCAATTCTCCATGTAGGAATGCAGTCTTCACGTCAAATTGTTCCGAGATCATACCGTACTGTGCTACAAGTGCTAAGAGAATGCAAATTGAGGGATGTTTGACCACTGGGGAGAACACTTCGTTATAATCAATTCCTTCTCATTGTGCAAAGCCTTTTGATACTAATCTTGTCTTGTACCACACATCAGCTCCTTGAGATCCTTCCTTCTTCACCAACCTTCAATTACCATTCTTCTGATGAGACTACATCTCTTCATCCATTGCCGCTCTCCAACAATCACAGTCTGGGCTCTCCAACACTTCTTTATAGTGATAAGGAATTTCTGTCTCTATGACTGAAAGACCAAATGCACTATGATCCCTCAACCAAACTGGTTTTGGGACATTCTGGCACTTAGTCCTGTTCTTAATAATAGATTCCTAAACAAGAATCTCATCCTCTGTATTTTCTTCCACCTTCTTCTAAGAACCATCAACAGATACCTCTGAGCTGCAATTGAATATGATATCTGAGTCAAAGAGAACAAACTCAGTGGAATAAATGGAGTTGCATCAAACTCCAAATTCTATTACGTATCTATGGTCCCAGTAGAACTCTCCACCTACTTTGAGTCCCGAGTTTTCAACAAGCTTGCCTTGCTGAATGTAACATCTCTGCTAATGACAATCTTTCTTTCTAACGGATCATACAACTTGAAGCCCTTAACTCCACGCATGAAGCCAATGAAGATACATATCTCTTCCCAATAGCTGCAGAAGGTTGACGATTCACCAAGTGACAAACATATTTTATGGCATCGACCCAATAGATTCTATTCAACCCAACATTGGATAATATACATCAAACTTTCTTCACCAAAGTCCGATTCATCCTCTCTGCCACCCATTTCTGTTGCGGCGTCTCTCGAACAGTGAAGTTTCATCTATAAAAGAGAAAACATATCTTTGCCCGTTGAATGATACTGTCTTGGTGGAGCCTCAAACATCTATGTGAACATACTCTAAAATACATTTTGTACTGTGGATGACAGTCCAAGAGATACCTATGTCTTCTTGTTAAACACACTATGCTCACAGAAATCAAGTTTGTAGGTGTTCGCTCCTTTGATCAATCATTTCTTCACCAATGCATGAGTAAGGCCTCTCCAGCATGAGCTAACTGCGCATACCACAACATAGTGACGTCAGAAGAATTATCAACAACAACAGTTGTTCCAGTCACTAGATTACCCTAAAGATAGTAAAGGTTGTGATGACAAACTCCCTGCATAAAAACATTGATTCACGACATATCCTCAGAACTGCTGCCTCAATAACTATCTTGTAGCCATTGGAATCTAAAACTCCAACTGACAGCAAATTCTTCCTAACATCTGGAACATGTTTAACATCAGTCAGCTTTCTCACAGGACCATCATGCATTTTGATGAAGATACTTCGTACACCAATATTAAGATAAGTTTGATCATTGTTCATAGTCACTACACTGCTGTCCAGCTTCTTTTACGTACGAAACCACCCTTGATGGGGACAAATGTGATTGGTAGTATCTATGTACAGAATCCAACACGAATTATCTGTAAACAAATTGTAAGAAACTGTAAATAACGATACATCTGAATTCATCTCTTCACATCTTTTCACAATGACATTGACTTTCGCCTCATGCAGCTTCCTTTCCCTTCTCATTTAGCTTTAGACAATCTTTCTGTCAATGAACAGTCTCTAAAAAGAAAGCAAACTATTTTTTTTCAAAGATCACGCCCACGAGACTTGCCTGCTTTTGAGAAGTGTCGTCGCTGCCACCTTTCTTTGACCAATTCTTCTTTTCTTAAATATGTCACGTTGGAGTATAATTGTCTTAGCTAATTCCATCTTTGTAGACTCTTTGCCCCTTCAACATAACTTGTGATCAAACAGTGTCATAGTCACTTCACCATAATCCAAAACCTCATTCCCATGAATAAGTGTCATATTGAAGTTTTCATATTCATTTGGAAACAAATTGAACAGAAGAAATGCATTGTCTTCATCTCCAACCTCCTCATCCAAATTTAACAAATGCGTCAACATGTTTGTGAAGTCATTCAAATGTTCATCAATTGTAACGCCCCGTTTCATCTGAAATCTGCCGTCTCATTTGAAATCTGTTGAGTCGACGTTTTGTATGAAGACAATTCTCGACATTCTTCGTGAGATATTTTTTTCCAGCATCTTCCACAATTTTTCTGTAGAAGTCTTCATAATTACTTCATATTTGATTTCTTCGGTTGAGCAATTTTGGATCAAACCGCAAGCATTCGTATTCAACTTCAACTAATCTGTCTCTAATATTTTTTCAGGACATTCCTCGCTATCCAGGACTTCCTTCAGATTTAGAGAACACAACAGATTGCTAAATGTTATAGTTCCAACAGTCATCAAATTTCATCACATCGATTTTGACGGGACGTATAATCACCTGATGAATCTACTTTTCCAGCGCTATAGTAGATGTTGAAGATTCTGACATAAAACTATTCGTTATTTCTACCCCTGTTGGAATCTTTTCCAAAAAGATTCCTCTAGCAGAATATATGGGAAAAAAGAAAAAAAAAAGCAAACAAAGAGAAAAATCTAAAAAAATAAATTTAAAAAAATTTTCCCAATTTTTTTTCCCCGAAATTCTCTTTTCCCGAAAAGAGTTTCCTTAAAAAAAATTTTCTTTGCCAAAATTGCACCGTTTCCGAAATTACTTTGCCTAAAAAAAAACATCCTTTTTTAAAGAATGATTTTTCCTTCCTCTGATGTTTCCTCCGCCCGTCCAAGGAGAGAAATAAAGAAATATTCCTATTAGGCAGATGAAAGATTCCCATCCCAAAACAACTCCTTCCTTAATCCGTCTACTCCTGCCTCAACACAGCGTATCCGCATGCAGACCGAACCAAATAAAATCACTGATTTTATACTACTCTATGCGGCTCCCACGCAAGTCAAACAACAAAGAGGTCTGCCGCTTTTTCGCCAGGCCCGCCACGAATTCCTACAACCGCTCGAACTCCACGTCCAAGCCACCGGGCCTGCCTCCGATCTGCACGTCGGACCACCGAATCAGCCCACCAGCTCCAATAACGAACCACAAGCTCTTATAACAGTTGTACACAACAACAATCAAACAAAAAAAAAAAAAATTATGAGATGGGGAAGAAGATTTCACTAGCACCAGATGAAGAGAAACCAAAATGACTTGAGGTTATAACTCAATACTTCTCAACATCATACACTTCTTAGTCTCTCATAAACTTTAGATCTCTTTTTATATAGTAGGACTAGAACATACAAAGAAATAAACTAAGAAGAAAACAAATCAATTAAAATAGAAGCCATTAAAAATAATGTGTTTAACATAAAATGTGCTCATATATTTATAACATGAGAAAGTGGCCCTCTTATCTCATGTTGCCATTATGTAAATTGTGCACAAAAATTACAAATGCAATTGACTGCATATTTAAATGTAGGTTAATTGTGAAGTGTATGGTTAAGTTTGAAAAGACTATTTATTATATTCTTTTCATATTTAAATATAGGTTATTTACGATAAGTGAAAGATCAAAGTAATTGTCTAATAAGGCGAAAATAATATTACCATATATGTTCATCCAAATTTGAAATGCCTTGCCTTATTTTAATCTTGAGTGCTTGATTAGTAATTAGATAAGATATTTCCATATTTTGGAGGAAAGTTCCGAATTAAGCACACCAAAGGTTCATGGGAGTAGGTGTTTATCACAAAAGAATTTGATGTGGACATCATTCATAATTAATTATATTCGTCCATTATTGTGTTGTATCATCCATGACATGATTGACACAATTATAAAGCATTGAATAATATGTTAAATTTAGAAAATGAAGAAATTATATGCTAATCTTTAATTATTTGCTTAGCCTCTAAAAAATATGCTGAAATTTTATCAGTATTGAGGCTTTTAACAATATCGAAAGCTTTGATTGCCTTAAACATATCAAATGGGAAATTCATAAGCCGTTGTTTCTTTCATTTAATATATGTTCTTTTTGTTTACATTTCCCCGCTGCTTTTAACTAATATTTTTTGTAAATATGATCTCAGGCAATTACGGCCCTTAAAAAGGGGTCATGTTTACTCAAATATGGTCGTAGAGGGAAACCAAAGTTCTGCCCTATTAGACTCTCTGCTGTAAGTATTTCATTTTTGACCAGATGTTCATGTTTTCTTCACTTATCCTAACAGAAAAGAGACACCAAATTTTCATATTTATAATTTATTACACTTAACCATTTAACATCACATCAAAAATACCACCTTTTTGGTAATACCTCTTTCCATGCGTAAGTTATGACATAAAAGAGTTATAAATGTAAATATCAAACTTTAGGTGTTAGATACTTCAATACATAAGAATTGTGTGGCATGCATGTCCAACACCCAAATTTTAAATATATATATTCACTTACCTGTGCATTAGAAGATGTATTTCACTTTTAAAAGTTAAAATAGTAATATGTTTGATGTGATATTGTTAAACCCAGAATTGTCCTTGAATCACACCTTGAATCACAATGAAGGATAAGAGAGAGTGAGCAATAGAGAAAGAAAGAAAGTGAGACAGAGAGAGGGAGAGAGTAGGTAAATGGTTGTATTGACTCTCTTGATAGCTATCCCATGGGATAGAATCAGATTGTCTATTCACAAGGTGGTGTAATTGTAGCCTTATTGGACATTATATGATGTTCAGAACCAAGCTCTAAAGGCGAAGAAACAACACAACAGTATCAAGTACACACCAACCTTTAAATATAGTTTATCCATCAGACTAGGCATCAAGATTACACCTAGTGGAGCACCTCTGACCCAACTAGAGGAGGAATTTGTACATAGTGGAGAAAAGTTGGAGACCGCCAGTACTCTCAAATATGTCCTTGCAATTAAAAACTTTATCATAATTTTGGCTATGTAGTGTCTTATTGCCTAAACATGAGGAGAGGATGAAGAAGTTATAGATGCATTTTAACTTTTACCTGACGAGAAAGAGATGCTAGTAATTCTAGCTGAATCTATGAGAGAAATTCCAGCTGAATTAAAATTGGTTGTTCTAGAAGGTAATAAGTCTGAGCAGCCGATCCAAGAAAAAAGGCAACCTCTAATGAGGGAGTAGCTGGATATCCTCATCAACAATTTGCCTATTGAGTGGTTGTCATGGAGAGTGGTCCAACATGTAATAGAATTTGTTCAAAAGGTAATTTTTCAAGACATATTTGTTTTTGGATGCACCCAATCGAGTACAAGCGGTAATAGAAGCATGTTACAAATTTAATGGCTCAAGGGTTGATATATGAGAATAATCGTCTATGTATAGTTCTAGCTTTGATTGTGCCCAAGAAAGATGACTACTTATTCTATCAAGTTAGACTTTGGGATGATTTGTAAATTTTAGAGTGGCATGAAATAGATACCAGTATACATTTTATAGTGGAACTGACTCAAACACAACAATGTGATGACTTTGTTATGATGGTGATGGATTAATTCTAAAATATTTTAGTGTAGAAGGCGAAGCCCGTCCTACTTAGGAAGAATGATGCGGGATGCTCATACGGGCCTAAGACGCGAACACAAACGAGGGAAGGAGATGCTGGAATCATGCCTGGCGTGAAGCATGAGTGGGTTTTGAATCTTGTGATGGTGGATACCATGATAGTTAGATTCCACAATTGCGAGAATCAATCGATCAACCTTCTCTTCCCGGGATGCACGAGATACGAGATTTCTATCATCTGATTAAGGTAGTAGGTCCCGCCAAGCTCTTGCCACCAGACCATTATGGACCCACTTTTTATGTTATTTCTTTAGAAAAGGTCTATTTTTTAGGAGGAACTATTTATATGTTTGTTTTTCTATTTTGAGAGGCTTTCGACTATAGTTAATGTATTTGGAGATATCTTCTCCTTGTTTTCCATATTGGAGTGATGTACCTTTTAATTTCTTTTAGGTGGTGTGTATGTAGCTAGATAGGATCAAAGTCGTGATCTCTCCCAAATGTTCGAATGCCACATTCATCGTCTACTTTGCTGCCTATTGCCGTTTGATAGCAGAAAACATTCATTTTCCGCTTCCGATTTGGAGTCATCCCACCATTCACACCCGATTTCAATCGGCATCCGTCCTCTCCCTTTTCTTATCTATCCGAAAACTTATTGACCTTTTTTGTGTTCTTAAATACCTTCTAGAAGTCCTAGAATAATATCATTCCCCCTCTTATATAGTGATAATTTCCCAATATAATGTGTATAAGCTATAATTACATATAAATTGCTTGGGATTTTTGACTGTATGGATATATCCTTTATTATCTCGGCTGTATAAATTATATCATATACGATGTCATTTTATATTTGTTTTCGTCTTTCACTACTCTTAGCCTTTTGTTGTGTACTCTTGGTTATCACATATGTTAATTAGTCAGTCTATTTGGCCATGCACAAGTTCTCTAGAAGAGTTATTATGGGAAATCATCTTTGTGAGAGCTATTTGTTGGATCTGCAAGTAGTTGAGTGCAGAAGGTCGAGCATAAGAGGTCGAGTACGGGAGGCCGAGTGTAGAAGGTCGAGAATAGGAGGTCGAGTACAAGTGTTTGAGTATGAGTAGCTTAACACATATTCTCCTAGATGAGTTCTCCAATGCATTACATGTTGCCAGTTACTTCTCCATCACTTTGTTATTCTACTCATTTTATAGCTCATCTTCTTATTTATGTCATGATTTAAGCTTCCCGCACATTTTCAAGGTGCTGAATTATGATTTGTCTTGAAATCACACCCGAGTATAGAGAGTCAAGAAGATGAAAGGATGGGAGAGAGAGATAGAACCGAGAGAGAGCTAATTATATGAGTTGATGTTAACCAGATGGGTTTTTCCTTGGCTTTACCGGCTAGAGAAATCCTAAGGATCTAATCCTGATTTACTTTCAATAACTTATATTTATAGTGGTTGATTTTTAGAAAATGATTTATTTATGCCTATATTATCCATAAACCTCTAGACATGTATGATTGTCTGAGACCTTTTCAAGAAGTCGAGTGCCCCAAAAATAATGCTCTATTGTTCTCATAAATTTTTTACTACTAGATCATGCCCTTACTTTGCAAAACTAAATTATTAGCTATATTGAAGAATCTTTGCTTTTGTTAAAATGATTAGAAATTAGGCAAATTGTTGAACTGTGTTTCAATTTAAAGAAAAAGAAAACAGAAAGGAACAAAAAAAAAAAAGAAACTTAAATACCACAAAAGTTTCATGCAAAATATAATATTTATATTTATAACATTTTAGAATCATACAATTATGCATAAAAATATGTGTTTCATATTTAAGGAAATAATGATGATAATTTTTTGATGTAATATTAAATATTTGGGCAGTATGTATGTAAATATAAACATCAAGACCGGTGATACATAAATATATAAAAAAGATGTGATATGCAAGTTAAGTATCAACCGCCGCCCCCCACCCCTAAAAAAAACAGAAAAAAATACTCTGGCAGACTGAACCTGGATGGAGAAGCAAGGAGAACGCGACTCGAGCTCGCTGGAGAAGCCATCGGCTGAACGTGGAGAAGCCGTTGATGGGACCAGCGTCGTGCGCAGAAGTGAGGAGGCCACAGAGAAAGCGCGCAGACGAAGCCAGTGGCTTGTCAAGCAAGGGAAAATGGTGTTAGGAGCTCTCTGGAGAGGGCATTGCCAGGACCTGTGGCGCATTGAGGCGAAAATCACACCGTAAGCTCGGATGAGAAGGAATCAACGGCGACAATGCCTTGTGAAGGCGAAACCGCAGCAGCTCGCGTTGGAGATGACATCTGTATCTGCGGCCTGTAAAGAAGAATATGTTCCGAGGGAGCTTGAAGTGAAAGCCTCGGCAACGCCCGTGGCGACTGAACTAGAGGAGAAGTTCATGTGGCTTTGGGATCAAGGTTAAAGGCGACCAAACCCGGATTTTAAGGTAAATCGTGGGAGAAATGGGATTTATAAGTTGTCATTTTGGCTGTTTAATAGGATATTGGTTAAATTCTGCTAAATAGAATTACGAACCTGCTGCCAATCTGAGCCCTCACTTTTCTCTCTCTCACACACTCTCTCCACCGGTCTCTACCCTAATCGCTATTCTCTTTCCAAAAATAGGAGCACTAATTATGTATGGATAACATATGTGCGGATTTAGGTGTTTTAGGGTGTGCTCAGATCGAGCACACTCTGAGTACACTCAATCTCAAATGCATATTATTCAAATTGATGCGTGCTAGAAAATTCACGGTGGTAGAGTAATGAATTATCGTCTTAGCATTGCACGAAAATTCAGTACACACTCAGATAAAAGAAAAAACTACCAATAATGACACCAAAAGTTTTTACGTGGAAAACCTATAAAGGAAAAAAATCACGAGGCCTAACCCATATGTAAAAATTTACTATAGGTTGATGACTATAGAAACCTTTCGTCTCACGAACAAGAAAAAAGTTATTAGATTTTCTAAGTTACGTCAACTGACGGCTTTCAGTCAGTGGTGGTCGACGGTGATTGTTGATGATCGACGTTGGTCAATGGTCATCGACGATCGGTGGTGGTTGACAGAGGTAGTAGCGCGCGATGGTGGCCGGTGGTTGTCAACGGCAGTCGGCGGCGATGGACGGCGATGGACGGCGATCGACGGTCGCCGTCAGTGATTGACGGTGGTTGTCGGTGATCGACGACGGTCAACGGTATTCGAGACAATCAGCGGTAGTCAATGGTGGCCGACGACGATCGACGGTGACAAGGGTGGTGTTGAACTTCAGCTCCTTCTCAAAGCTTTAAGTTTTCTCTCACGTCTTCAACCTCTCTCATGAGAGGGGTGGAACTCTATTTATAGTCTTCTGGGTGTAATGAATTCAGGAATATGAATCATTTTGATCGGACGGTCTAAAGGACTTCCTTCGATCATATGACGTTTGATGGACATTTTAGTGCCTAAACGATGTCAGAATTGAGTAATTTTAGACCCGTTGAATTCATTTTGTTGGGATGTTCGATTCGATTATAGACTTGCTAGATTTGACATTCGTTTAAACTTCTAAATATGTCCGGAAAACTTTCAAGAGAGTTTAATGACTTGACCTTAGCTTGATTTGACCCGGATTAGACTAATTTTGGTGACTTTGGGTTTTTCTTGTCTAGTTGGTCAGTTTGAAAGTAAGTTTGTTGAAATCAGAGTTTTTGATGAGTTTTTATCGATATTTGAATATTTCTTACTCAAAAAGTCGCATCGAGATCTATGTCATGCATCGAGATTTGTGCATGATGATAAAAATTTATTGGAGATGTATCATTTGCGCTCTTATTTTCGGATGAGATCATTTTATCAACCAAAAATATTAAGATCTAAAATTTTTTTCCTTTTTGTTGTTATAGGTATACATATGATTATATATTATATTACTATGAGAATTTATATAAGAATAATATAAACCTCTATTTGTTGAAGCAAATAAGCGCAACTCAGTTGGTAAGGGTTTTTTTCTTCCATCGGCAGGTGGTGGGTTTGATTCCTGAGCAGGACAAAAAATTACCGTGAGCTAAGTTTGAAGAGACGGAATTATGATAGATTTAAGTATTTTTTTTAATTCAATTATTTTTAATGTTATGACTCATGTTAAGCTTATAAATAGAGACCAAGGAGAGGAGAAAGAAATTGGAGTCTTCATCCCTTCATAGCAGGTGATCTGTGATTTCTCAGGAAAAGAAATTCGTCTTCGTTCTGCGTAGCAGGCGAGCAGCGGGATTTTTTTTTCACGTTGCGGCTAAGAAGAAAATCGTCCCTGTCTTGCATAGCAAACGAGTAACAATATCTTCTTTCACGTTGCGGTGAAGAAGAAAGTCGTCCCCGTCCTGCATAGCAAGTGAGCAACGAAATCTTCTTTCACATTGTGGCGAAGAAGAAAATCATCAAAGTCTTTCGTAGCACACGAACAAAGGGATCTTCTTTTACGTTGTGGCGAAAGGAAAGTTGTTTCCATCTTGCATAATAGACGAGCAACATCCTGCGTAGTAGACGAGAAACAAGATCTACTTTCACGTTGCGGTGCAGCAGAAAGTCGTCTTTGTTCTGCATAGCAGAGCAACATTATATTCATTCTCGTTGCGGCAAAAAAGAAAGTCATCATCGTCCTGCGCAGCAGCGAGCAACATGATCTTCTTTCTCGTTGCGGTGAAGAGGAAAGTCATCCTCATCCTGCGTAGCAGACAAACAATGAGATCTTTTTTCTGGTTGTGGTGAAGAGGAAAGTCGTCATTGTCCTGCGTAGCAGATGTGCAACGGGAACTTCTTTCACGTTATGGTGTAATAGAAAATCGTTATCGTCCTACGTAGTAGACAAACAACAAGATCTTTCTCTTTGCGGCGAAGAGGAAAATCGTCTCCATCTTGTGTAACAAGCGAACAACGAGATCTTTCTTCATGTTACGGTGCAACAAAAAGTCCTCCCCATCCTGTGTAGCAGACGAGCAACGGGATCTTCTTTCACGTTTCGATGAAGAGTGAAGTTGTCCATGTCCTGCGTAGCAGGTGAGCAACGAGATCTTTTTCGTTACGGCGAGGAGGAAAGTCGTCATCGTCCCGTGCAGCAGACAAGCAAAGAGATCTTATTTCTCGTCTCGGTGAAGAGAAAATTCATCCCGATCCCGGTAGCAGGCGAGCAATGAGATATTCATTATCATTGCAGTGAAGAAGAAAGTCTTCCCTATCCTGCGTAGCAGACGAGCAACAAGATTTTCTTTTTAGTTGCGGTAAAGAGAGCAGTCGTCCCCGTTCTGCGTAGCATGCGAGCAACGGGATCTTCTTACTTATTACGGTGAAGAAGAAAGTTGTACTCGTCCTGCGTGGCAGGCGAGCAACGGGATTCTCTTTCACGTTTTGTTGCTGTAAAAATTCGTCCTCTTTCTACATAACAGACAAACAACAAGATCTTTTTTCTCGTTGTGGCGAAGAGGAAAGTCGCCTGTCCTGCGTAACAAGTGAGCAACGGGATATTCTTTCATGTTGTGGTGCAGAGGAAAGTCGTCACAGTCCTGCGTAATAAACGAACAACGATATCTTCTTTTACGTTGCGGTGCAACAGAAAGTTGTCCCCGTCTTGCATAGCAGACGAACAATGAGATATTATTTTCATATCAGTGAAATGATAAAGTTATCTCAGTCCTTGCCCAGTAAGTGACTCAAGATCTTCTTGCTTGTTGCTCCTGCACATTTCAGTGAGGATGAAGAAATGCTAGATTTTTCCAGCCGTGCTTTGAGTGGGAGAGTTTTATGCTTTTGTAGCGGCGATATCTCTTGTAGTCTTTATACCAGTTCTTGTTGGTCTTTATAGTATTTTTAATTATCTGATGTGATATTTGTAGAGGATAATGTATTTCTTTGTACGTCTTTGACGTTGCTTATGTGGTTGTTGTGGCTTCTCAACTATACAAATTTCTGCAATTAAAATTAGCACATATACTTTATAAAATGAAGGATCGCATACGTTTTGAAATTCGTGTCTTTCAAGGTTATGCTCTCTCGAGCTTATGCCTTATAGGAGCTTGAAATGAATCGGTACCTTCTAAGGCTCGTAGCCTTCTAAGATTTTTTATGTATATGCATTATGAGGCTTGTAGATTTCTGAGGTCTTTAATATATTTGTGTCTTCTGAGACTTTTAACTTTCTGAGGTTTTTGATGTTCTTGTGTCTTCTGAGACTTGTAGCCTTCTAAGCTCTTTGATGTACTTGTGCCTTCTAAAGCTTGTATCTTTCTGAGATCTTTGATGTATCTGTGTCTTCTGAAACTTGTAGGTTTTTGATTAGAGGCCTTGTCAACCACTTAGCTCTCTTGGAGTCTTTCTAGTGAAGACCATGTCCATTACTAGCTTCTCATTGAGACTTGTCTCTTGGGCTCATCTTCTAGGGGCATGGTAGATTCTCATTGAATCTTGCCTCTCGGGCTCGAGTTCTAGGAGTATCGTATCTTCCCATCGAGTCTTTCCTCTTGGGCTCGCTTCTAGGGGCATGAAAACTTCTCATCGAGCCTTGCATATTGTACTCGACTTCCAAGAGTACAATATCTTCCCGTCGAGTATTGTCTCTTGGGCTCAACTTTCAGGGGCATGATAGCTTCTCATTGAGTCTTGCCTCTTGGGCTCGACTTCCAGGAGTACCGTATTTTTTCATCAAGTCTTGCCTCTTGGGCTTAACTTCCAGGGGCATGGTAGTTTTTCATCGAGTCTTGACTCTTGGGCTCGACTTCGAGGAGTATCGTATTTTCCCATCCAGTCTTGCCTCTTGAGCTCGACTTCCAGGGGCATGATAGCTTCTCATCGAGTCTTGCCTCTTGGGCTCGACTTCCAGGATTACAATATCTTCCCATCGAGTCTTTTCTCTTGGGCTTAACTTTAAGAGGCATGGATGAGGACCTTGTCTACCTCTTGCCTTCAAGGAGACTTTCTACACAAAAATCTTGCATGAGAAAATAAAAAACTCACTTAATTAACTTTTTGAAGCCATCCTTTTACTCAAATAAAATAATTTGGAGTTGTACTTCTTATTTGATAACTCCGAAGATTCTTTTTTTGGTTCCCCTCACCTTGTTCATAACCTAGGTGAGCTTGGCGTATTAGACAATCAATTTTTTCGTTTAATTGAACACATCTTTCTGTCAAATGTTCTTTTGAACGGTGGAAATAACAATTTTCAGACTGGTC